AAAGCCTGGATCTTGGAGTCTAGATTCATTAAAAATGCACTTCCTCTCTGTTTTCTTCTAGAGCCTTGTTAGCTCTCTCGCGTTCTCTCTCTCTTTCTCACTCTCTCTCTCGCGCGCACGCTCTCTCTCTCTTCTTCTTCTTCTCTCTCTCTCTCTTCCTCTCTCTCGCTCTCTCTCTCTCTTTCTCTCTCTCGCGCTCTCTCTCTTCTTCTCTCTCTCTCTCTTTCTCTCCCTCTCTCTCGCTCGTTCTCTTACTCTCCCTCACTCTCTATCTCTTCCTCTAACGCTCACTCTCCCCTCTCTTTCTCGCCCCGGCTCCGCCTCGCTCTCACTCTGCTGCATCTTACGCTATACATATATAACGGCAACACTTACCACACTTCTCTTTCATCGTGTCGTAATAATTCTTTACAAGCTGACCCACTTACCTTGCTTCTCTTCCATCGTGTTCTGATCATTCTTTACAAGCTGACACACACAATGATCCACTTACCTTATCTCTTTCATCGTGTTCTAATCATTCTTTACATGCTGCCATACACGATGATTATCTCAGCCTTTCCTCCAGCATCAGACAATCTTCTTACCCGTGGATCTATGAAGACGTTTTGAAGACGCGGTATATATTTACGATATTCTGCGGTTATTACTACATTACTGCACCGACATGCGCCTAGGTTGAAACCTCTGAGAGGTATGAGTACTTGATTTGAATTCACGTTACGTCGATTTTCCTCTGCTCCCTCTTCCCCCGCTCTCTCTCCCACCTGCTAATCACTCTTTCGGTCTATCTATCTCGCTGTCGTTCTCGTTTTCTCCCTCTCCCTCTCACACACACGCACGCACACATGCACACGCGCGCGCTCCCTCCCTCCTCTCTCTCTCTCTTTATCAATCCCGTTCTTTCTTTATTTTCCAATCTCAGGCACGCTTTTCCTGTATTTAGCTGTTCCTCTCGCTCGTTCTCTATATTTCCCTCCCTTCTTTTGCTCGTGCTTTTTTCTGCTCCGCCGTCTCCTCCCCGAATTCTCCACGTATCTGAACAAGAGTTTCACCTAGCTCATCACTGATGCTACCCGGGGCCGCAGGCAACGTAAACACTGTCTCACAACACCGACATCAACTCTTCCTCTCTCTCTCTCTCTCTCTCTCTCTCTCAGCTCTCCCTAGTCGCAGACGATTTCTGCATAGCCGAGCAGCAGTACGCGCCTGTGACGTCACGCACGTGACGTGTGACGTCACGCGGCTGGCGACGCGTCTGCGAGCGAGCGTGTCGCGTGATTCCTGCAGAAGCCGCGGATGCTGCTGATCGAATGCGAGACAGGTAAACGACAGGACGGAACTACGACGCAGAGCGTGGTTCAGACCGGCGTGTGTACGCACAGCGAACTGCGCTTTCCCCGCTATATGCGGTCACTGCTAGCACGCGCAAAAAGATCTAAACTCACACGCCGCGCACTATCGTCTCTTAACCATCGCCTGATATATGATCAGGAGTCTATCAATATCAATTGATGGACTCCTGATATGATGCAAGAGATTCCAGACTTTATGCGGATATGTGATTTAATGCAATGAACGTGCATGTGCTGGGTTTACACTACCGACTTTGTGTTGGCGAATTGGCGAATTAGACCAACTTCCCAACTATACAATCGACAATCGGCAGTGTAAACGTAAAAGTTGGGCGACCAACCGATTGATAGCAACTGGTTGGAAGATTAGAACATGTTCTATTTTTGCCAACTCGGCGTTGGTCGAATTGCGAAATTGGTCCAACATAAGGTCGGAAGCGTAACCTTAGTTTACTCAAATCAATAATCCCTATCGTATGTCAGATGGACGTGCAATTAGTGTTTAAAGCTGTGTCACCGGCGATGTTACACCTGCGATTTCGTTCACACGTTTTTACGAACCTGTGCTCACGCTGCGCTCGAACTGCATACAAATCAATAGCGCGGAAGCACCTGATCCGTCATTGCTGTCACTATATTCCGCTGCTAAAACAAAACCTACACATAAAGCGGCATTTACCAACAAAAACACGGTTTGCTCCCTCTCTGTGTTCAGGCTCCTGTCTACTCCTCCTGCCTGCTCCCTACCACTGCCTGCTCCCTACTCCTCCTGCCTGCTCCCTACCACTGCCTGCTCCCTACTCCTCCTGCCTGCTCCCTACCACTGCCTGCACCCTACTCCTCCTGTCTGCTCCCTACCACTGCCTGCTCCCTACTCCTACTCCTACCTGTTCTCTACCACTGCCGGCTCTCTACTCCTAATTCTCACCCGTCATAGATGATTTTATGAGGATGCTGCCAATCTCTCATAGCTCAGCCGACACACAGCTCACGACCTGACGTAATATATATATATATATACATATATATTACGCAGCTCATATATTTAACAGCCATAGGGCGTTATGCGGTGCACATATTGGGGTCGACAACAGACACAGAGCAACGTTTAGGTGGTGAACAACAGTAGACGGCGTCTATAGGCAGCAGGCCTGAATAAGCATCGAACAGATTATTTTAATTAATTACTTAATACTTAAGTGGAAACAATTAATTAATCAATTATATATTTAATACTTGACATCCGGATTAGTGCAAGCGTGCAGGTGGTGAGGACTGTGGTTGCCCTTAAGCTAGTGAGATTAGGTAGATAATTGTAAAGTGCTACAGGCCAGGCCCACGCTAGCGGAAAGTGAACTGAGACATGATAGCTCTACACCCACAAACCTGAACACCACAAACACTCAACACAACGCCGGTGAAAAACCATAACCTCCGCCCCAGTGCAGATCATATACGCGCAGTAATAGCTTACATTAAAAATGTATATTATTGTTTAATGTATTTTTTATATAGGCTTTAAAATATATAATATTAAGCTTCCTGTATACTACATAACTTCGTGTAATTCATTTTATCATCGTATGATATCGTGGGCCGGACCGCATCACACCTAGCGATGGCATAGTTAAGATGTTTATTGTGTATGAAAATCGTTTACTGCGTATTTATCCTAAGCTAAGCGTTTACGTTAGTTTTAAATAACGCTTACGCGTGACAGACAGGAATTAGATCAACTATAGATTCAGAGCATTATGCAACGTTTGGTTGAAATACCTGTTGAATATCATAGTTAGTTTTTCAAAACAGCTAGTAGAATATAGGAGAAGGTCGGTAACCCCTGTCTGTAGCGCGTCCTAGTTGGCTGAGAAAGCTGGATAATTTTTGAGGTCTCTGCATTCCTAAAGCCTCATTAGCGGCCTTAGGTATTACGTTGTGACGCCAACCGATAATATCACAAAAAAAAACATAATATAACTAGAGCACTCGGAGAGCACAGACCTCCGCCAAGGCAGCTGAATTCTCTCAATGTGA